AAAGATCGTAAGGATGTGGCTGGATGGCATGTCAGCACGGAGGATTTCTTTGAAGGCCAGAGTCAGCCTCTCCACAGTGTACAGGTGGATCCATAGGTGGAGGGAGTACGGTACGGTGAAGACTTGGCCTTACCGTAGCAGGCTGCTCGGGAACTACCTCAACTTCACGTTACCATACATTAATACTAGTAATAAATATCTATATTATTCTCAAAATTTGTTACATAAGCAAATTGAAAAACCAGTATTTCCGTGTGAATATCATTAGTGAACTATATCTTATGTACTAGAAAGACCTAACATAACTTAACCTGATCTACGTTGATGTTACACTAATAACACAAAAAAAGGATAAAGAAGAATATAATGATTATAAACTGCTTTGTAATGATGTAGTTTGTAGATTTATTATTTAAGAAAGTTTATTTGTACTAAAGATGTAAAGTTATATTTCAAGTCACGAAATATACTCATGTAAAATTAATTTATTATTAAGATGTTATTAAGATAAGTGTCATTTGTATCCTAAATAGCTTCAGAGAATTTTGTTTTGTATGATTATAACAAAATTACTTCGCCCAAATTCAAAAGTGAATAGATAACGAGGATAAATTGTTAAGTATCTAAACATTACTCTGAACATTACTACTACTTATAACTTTTGCATCAGAAAATAAAGAATGTAACTACCTGTAAGTGTACCTTTGATATTGTTCATAACTACAGATGAACTGTGTTTATTTACATAATAAAATTACGTCAAAACAATCCAGCAGCATTTTTATGGGGAAAATAATTCCATCCTCACTCATAAACACAAAAGACCTGCACAAACAGGACGGGCAGACTTGATCAGCGAGTGTGTACAAAATTCAGACTGTTTCATTTACTACTTTGTTATACAGATGTATTACAGTCTCAAATTACATACAGTTGGCACACGATAATACATATGGGTCTCATATTTTTTTACCTAAGTTTACATGACTTGTTAAGTCGCCTATTTTTATAAGCACTACTTTCGTGTGGGGGTAGAGATGGTGTGTGGATTAGTGGATCCCATGTTATTGATCTGACCTGATGTTTTGCAAGGACACCCTTTGTTTATACAGTAAGCCTTTCTCAGTCCCTGTAAATTCAGTTGCCTCTGAAGATGTCTTGAATAAAGACGAAAGCTAAGGTTCTCCATTGTTTCCCTTTTCCTGTGTGATTTTATCGATATATATATATATATATATATATATATATATATATATATATATATATATATATATATATATATATATATATATATATATATATATACTGTGAGGGTCTATACCTTGATATTTCAGTTCAGTTTGATGCGCTCCGTTTACCAAATAGTGATGGTGGCTGCCATGCTTTGGAATAGTCCACCCGTATTAAGTAAGGAAGAGCATGGACCCGTGGAGCAGGTGGGCGTGGATGTGGGCGTGATGGTGAGTCAGGTGGTGGAGCACCATCTCACTGGCTGTCACCTGGTGCTCATCACCACTAGACCACAATCATTCATGACCTCCAGGATAATAAGGTGAGCTGTCCTTTTTTTCCAGTAATATCACCTGTTTGAGATATGAATACCTGAAGCTGTTTTTGGTCTAGGTTTAAACAGGTTGTTTGTTCTCAACGACCAACTGACCAAGGACCACCTCTTGCAGGGTTTTAATTTGAAACTTATGTCCCCTTACACATCAGTGTGGAGGCGAGCTTGATAGTGGAGGCAGGGTGGGTGTTGTCCCAGGACCAGATGGCTAAGGACCACCTCCTGCAGGGGCTGTGGGGGGACGCCAGATTCTCCTGTAGGGCTGTCATCCTTGACCTCACAGCCAGCAATAGTACTGACCTCGTCCTCAGGTAATGTTTTAAAGCTACAAGAAACTTTCATTCAATGATTTACAATTTTCTTTAATAATGTTTGCAGGATTTACCACTTAAGTGAAATGATCGACTTTTGTACATAAACATAAAACTGTCAATAGTCTGAGGAGAAAGAAGCAACAACCCTCGACATGGTTATGGTAAAGGCCAGCATGTTGCATGCAGGGTGTCTTGTTCTCTCGTTAACCGATAATGCACATGTATAAGACCATATACTCATAGGAAATGAAGTGCTGGTATTAACAACGTGTAAGGGTGGACTTAACGATTTAATAATCAAAACACACAGCACTGGTATGGCACGGGGCAGCATTCCCACGACGCACGGGCACACTGGACTCCTACATACACAGCTCACGGAAGGACTACCACAGTATACACAGCTCATGGCAAGACTGCCACAGCAAACACACAGCTCACGGCGGGACTCCCACAGCACGCACAGCTCACGGCATGACTCCCACAACACACACAGCTCACGACAGGACTCCCACACCACATACAGCTCACGGCGGGACTCCCACACCACACACAGCTCACGGCGGGACTCCCAGAGTACACACAGCTCACGGCAGGACTCCCACCCCACACACAGCTCACGGCAGGACTCCCACCCCACACACAGCCTGGGACTCACGGCAGGACTCCCACCCACACACAGCTCACGGCAGACTCTCACCCCACACACAGCCTACGGCAGGACTCCACCCCACACACAGCTCACGGCAGGACTCCACCCCGCCACACAGCTCACGGCACATTCCCACCCCACACACAGCTCTCGGCAGGACTCCCACCCCACACACAGCCTGCAGGACCCCACCCCACACACAGCTCACAGCAGGACTCCCATCCCACACACAGCTCACGGCAGGACTCCCACCCCACACACAGTCACAGGACTCCCACCCCACACACAGTTGACGGCAGGACTCCCACCCCACACACAGCTCACGGCAGGACTCCCACCCCACACACAGCTCACGGCAGGATTCGGACACCACATACAGCTCACGGCAGGACTCCCACACCACACACAGCTCACGGCAGTACTCCCACAGCACACACACTGCTCACGGTAGAAAGTGTTGACTGGGCCAGCCAGGAGTCCGACTGCCGGGGTGATGGTTCGCGGCTGTTAACTCACCTCTGTCTCACCACCTCGTAGTCCCGTCTTATTGGCCAGTCCCATTATGACATGCTGTTTTTGATTGACGTCAGTAATTGCTGCTTGAACCGGCCAACGAGTCCTTAGCCAGCTAGTCCACAGTCATGGCATGAAAATATACCATTGACTTTACCTTGGTTTTAAATGTATGCAACGGACTAATAAGGGTGAGTGAGGTAACAGGTGAATGAGCACCGGTTTCTAGTCGCATTTAATGGAGATCATCGAGGTAATCAAGGCAAGTATTTACTAAATTACGTTTGAACCGAAAAGTGCGGAGAAGAAAAAATAAACATACAATCCAGTCTCTACAACTGTGTAAAGTGATGGTCAGTGCCAGGAGGTGGAGGCGGGTTATCCTTATTTCCCGTAAAAGATCTTTATTCTCTTCTCTTAGGCCAAAGGTTATTAAATGCTACCAACTAGAGGTGATGCCTCCTTTATGTATGTATATATGTGAGAAGCCATTTAATTTTCATGAGTCAAAGTAGTGTGTTACGTTTAAATACATAAATCGGCTTACCAAAATCACTCCAGCTTATTTGAATAATGACTTCACTAAAGCGATTTTCATCAGCCGATGTCAGTTTTCCAAATCAAGTATAAACGTGTTGAACTTTAGTTTTAGTCAAAATCATATTAAACCCTGTCCGATCACTTAACCCATTCAGCTTTTGTATTTGGGTTTGTACCAAATGTGAAAATTAATACTAATATATTTGCTTGATCAGAGGTAATATACTGTAATATACTGCAATATGACCTTCAATTTCAGGTTGTTAGAAGTGGCAGGACTGAGGAAGAGTTGTGAGACGCGTGTGATGGTGGTGGGAGGGATGACAGCAGTGAAGGACGTCCTCCTACACCGTGTTTTCCACAACACCATTCACGCCCTTTATTTGGCCCTTGATGACCTCACCCTCAACATGTCACTCCGCCACGGTAACTCACGCCTTAGGAAGATCCTCCCGAAGAAAGGTTAGTGCATCTTTTTATTGTAAATCAATTTTTTTTTAATAGTTGAACATTCACCCGAAAATGACCCACCTCTCATCCTCAACAATGTGCACCAAAAAAAGTTTCGGGGCTATTTAAGAGTTTTCCTTTCTTAATTTTCTCATACAGCTTCCTTGGCTTGAGAATAACCCAGTGTCCAACCCCTTACTCAAAACTGTCCCAGCACCTTGAAAATCACAACCTGATCCTTCGATTTAAAACACAAACGCACACACATTATACTCTCTCTCTCTCTCTCTCTCTCTCTCTCTCTCTCTCTCTCTCTCTCTCTCTCTCTCTCTCTCTCTCTCTATATATATATATATATATATATATATATATATATATATATATAATATTCAGAAATTTCAGAGTAATTTCAAACGGCACTCCATTGGCGATGCTGAGTTTTCAAGGTCGTCTGAGGGAAGAGAGCGCTCCCCGCACATAGCGAGAGGTTGTGGAACTAGGCCTATATGATATTAAATGTAATTTACCGAGTCAATAGGGACGCGAATCATGAAATTAAATATCAGTTTTTAAATTGAAAATAATTTTAGATCGTTTTCCAGTCTGAAAATGTTGCGTACGTCCTAATTAAGTTTAATAGTCTGGTAAATAAGTCACTCCCGGAAAGCGTGAACCAGGGAGCAAGGTGGCTGGGGAGCTGTGAGAGAGGTCAAGGACCACCTCTGTGCTGTACCCAGGAGAGACGGATCGCGTGACCTGGTTCCTTCGTTTATTTAACATTAGTATTAACAAGTAAGTTTTATTCAATCTCAGACAAAGCTAGATAGGGCGGTAGGAACAAACGGTGATGTGAGACAATAGCTAACAGCTCGGGTTTTTCAGGGTTCTGTAGACCCCACTCGGTATGATAACGTCCACTGGCGGTATGAGACACGAGTGGTGAAGCAGCTGTATGACCGTCCACTGACCTGGGTTTGAGCCACCTGTTGAGTATGGTGAGAGTTGGAGTGAACCCAGCTGTCTAGGTGCCCAACTAACGACGTGACGATCGTTTGGGGTCATCAACTCTCCTCTACCTCGGCTCACAATACCACATATCTTCAAGCAGCTTAGTGAAAACCTTTTACTAACGGGAAGCTAAAGCTTCTCTCAACTGTACAAGGTCTGAGTGGCTCACTCCCTTCCGTTTCATGGATGTACTGGGGGTAAAGTGAAGCCAGCTGAGTGATACAGGGTCACACACTGGGACCAAGAGTCCAGTGGAACTTAGAGGTACATTTCCAAGGTTGAGAAAGGCTGGTTTGGGCCTTAAACTACAGGTGCCTGTTGGTTGTGCCTTAAAAAACTACGGAGTGCAGGTGGAATCTATGTGTTAGGTTAGGAAGCATGGTTCACGGGTATTGGTGGACTCAGTAACTTCTTAATGATAGTGATAATATTTTTGTGTGTACTTAATACTATTTTTTCAGTTACTAATGTATGCTGTGTGCATTTAATATTTCCTTATAATTTCAACCTCAGGTATAACCCTTGTTCCCCAGAGTAGTGTTTAAGTTAGGTTAGGAGGTGTGTATCTATTGGGGTAATATAATTTTGCTGAGTGCCCTGAAGGCCTACTCAGGGTGGAGTTAATATGTTCTAATTTTTATACCATTTTCTCAGTGCTGGATATCATTTTGTTGAGTGCCCTTAAGGCCTATTCATTGTAGAGTTATTGATTTCCTATTTTTTTATAAAATCTTCTCAGTGATTGATATTATTTTGTTGAAAGCCCTTAAGGCCTGTTTTATGTGTGCAAGCAACATTTCTTAATACTTTAAATTTATTGTTGTCTAATGAGGCATTGTCTGAATTTCTAATATTTTCAATATCATGTATTACAATTATTCCCAGAGTAGCTTTTTAAGTTCAGGTTAAGAGGTGCGCATATTGGTGTACCATTATTTGATTGTGTCTGTAGTGTTGGAGGGAATATAAGTGTCTAAATTTTACAGTGTGTCTCATTCATCCCAGTCACAGACGCTATCCTTCCACGGGTCACGGACAATTCATTTTGTTTAGTAAATTTAAGTGTTCTTGTGCTGGTTCGGGATTTCTCTCAAAGGGGGCGCTTCCACTGCAATTACAATCTAATAATCTTTAATAAACGCCAGGTCTAGGGATTTCTCTCAAAGGGGGCGCTTCCACTGCAATTACAATCTAATAATCTTTAATAAACGCCAGGTCTAGTGAGAAATTAAAGTCCAGTAAATTCCGACCGGTTACATATATATATATACATACTGTATATATATGTTAGAGAGGGAAAATGGAAAACTAGCATCAAGGGTGCAGAAAGTTGGAGGGTGGAAATGCTGCTTAAACGTGTCGCAGGTGTGAGATGCAGTTATTAGAGCAGGTCTCCTCTGGGGGGTCGTATGCATACTTTTTTTCTCTCAGCACATGAGGACAGTGCTGTCTTTTTTTAGGGGGTCGATTGTAATATTCAGAAATTTTTATGTGATATTTGGAGACATTAGAACAAAAATGACCGATCTGCCGAACAGGAAAACGCAAGTAGGCTAGGCTGAAACACCCACGCCTCGTGGCGAGTTAACAAAAAGGCCTTCAAATAACGCCAACAGTCAGGGGATGGAAGCATTTTGAACTTGGCCAATAAAAATTTAAATGTACTTTATCCAATTAATGTAGACGCGATTTATGAAGTTAAGGGACAATTATAAAATTTAAAGTTATTGTGGATAGTTTCTTAGTCTAAATATGCTACTTGTGTCCCCAAAAAACTATTAGAAATAAGCTAGAGATGACGTCATGGGGGGGGGGGGGCAGGCGAGCGCCCTGAAGAATGCCTAGGGAGATGGGATCTCAGTTAGTTCCTGTCATTGACCGAGAAGGACGTCTACTACTCGTTCTACCAAGGAAAACGACCACGTGGCTTCGTCCCTTCCCGGGAATGTTTCATCCGTGTTGCAAGTAAGCTTTTATTTGATCTCAGACAGTGTTTAGATAGGGTGAAGAAGAATTTAACAGTAGTTAACAAAGTCGTCCTTTTGCAGGGTTATGAGAACCCACTTGGTTGGTCGGTGGTTAGTGGTCGGTTTGGAAGATATAGCTGGCAACGCACTAGGCGAACAGGTGTCTCTGACGACTGACTACGTGGGACCAGCATCCGCACTTTGGTTGGTGGTCGATCTGGTTCATCAAATCTCCTCACCTTGGTTCATACAACACCACATCTCTTCAGTCAGTCAGTGAAAAATCTTACTAACGGGAAAGTAGAACCCCTCCCTCAGCTGGGCAGGGTTCACCTGGTTGAACTCTGAGCTGTCCTAACTAGGCGGGCTGAAGGTCACTCTCTTCCTATCCATGAAGTATTGGGAGTAAAATGAGTGCAGACTGAGTGAATGAAAAGTCACACGCTGGACCGGAAGTTCTAGTGGTTACATAGAGACATTCATCTCCCCAGTATTGGGTGTATGTGATTAAAATAACCAAGTCCAGGTGTGTAATCAATGTTCCTCATGGTTGATTGCACACGTGGGACGTAGTGGTTCCTCTTCAAAAATTGGTGGAACGCTGTAGCACCTTAAAGTATGGGTGTATTCTGAACCTATGTGTGAAGCATGTTACGGGTGTTGGTGGAGAAATACACTCATGCCTCCTGAAACCTAGAAAGAGCAATGAAAAAAACAGCGGAGCACCTGCCTGCCTAACGGGTCAAGAGTGATTTTCTCGGTTTCTTGTAAATGCCTGCCACTTGGCAGGTTCGTAGTTACAACCTTCGGGTTCTGGGTAGTTAGGACAGTTAGGATTATAGTATTTTGTGGGTCATCCCAGACAGGCTTGTGTATTATGACTAAATCGGGATTTCTATTCCTCAGTGAATGCAATAATTTTGTGGGATGCCCTTAAGGCATGTTCATCGGTGCAAGTAATATTTTTTAATGTCTTATGTGCCACTAAGTGATGTAGGATGTACGAAGGAATTATTTCAGATGAGTTCTCCGTTCTGGTGTCTATTCTGGTGTATATAGTACTGCTGCATTAGTAGTTCTTTTCAGATGCAATTAATATATTTCAATATTTTTTTTGATACCGTGGATAACTTTTGTTTCCCATTGTAGTGTTATAAGCCACGCTAAGAGGTACTCTATTGCTTGTGTACAATTATTGATTTCGTCTGTAGTGTTGGAAGGAATAGAAGTGTTATCTTTTACCCGTGCGTCTCATGAACCCCAATCACAGGTACTAGCTTTTTTTATGGGATTAACCCACCAGGGCACAGGTCAATGACCCATATCAGGGCCTGGGGACGAAAATATAATAATAGTACTAATAATTATAATAATAACTAATACAAAAAATATATATTAAATACAAATATAATATGTAGGTAATACGTAATACGTAATATAATATACGTAATATACGTAATTTAATTTAATATAATAATAATGATAATAATAATAATAAAGGACAATAAATATATACAAAGAATGATCAAAAGTGAGAAATGATACATATACTGCATGTTGTGTTGTCAAAATAAGAGAAACAATTGAAACCCTACAATTGTGTGTAAATCAGGCAGAAAGTCAGATGAGCAGCCTGGTACTTGGTCAAAATTTTCGTGATGCCATATGGCAGCAGGATCTACCATTAGCTAACTTATGCTTCCAATATCTTCCCAGGCGGTAGTACCTCCCTGTTTGGTAGCTGCCTACTACCTACTACCTACTGAGGGGCGCTTCCACTGCATTTCCATCAACTATAATTCAAAAAGCCCCAATAACTAGCAGTGAGCAATTCCGACCGGTTACACACACACACACACACACACACACACATATATATATATTTATATATATATATATATATATATATATATATATATATATATATATATATATATATATATATATATATATATATATATATATATAATGATAAGTTATGAACAAATTTAGATCACTCAGTTTAGACCAACAACTCTCGTCAAACAGAGCATTGAATTTCCCTTTTGGGACTTTGTTCCTTTCACTAAGAAAGGTGCTCCATTGTTTCCCTTTTTCCCGTGTGATTTTATCATGATTTATCTTATCCACGTTTCCATTGTGGATTTACATGAAATATGGAACTTACACGTCTCTCTTACGCTGTGTCCTTAATCTGTCAACAACATCCTCATCTTCGCCTCATCTACCGTAACTAGAAGAAGAGTTTGCTGAAAGCTCATAATCTCAGAAACAAGTTGAAGTTCCTAAGTCTTGTCTTCCAAAAAGATTAAGAGATCTGGACAATCAACCCTTCTCTGAGTTGGATAAAGTGCTGCTGGACTCCCTTATCAAGAGTTCAAGTGATAGTGTAAAATTGGCATTTAAGCACAGTGCTCAGTGTAAAATACTAATGCAAAATAATGTTTGTGTTGATAAGTGGCATATCATTCGAGATTTTTTATATAAATTTCTAAGTGAAAGTGACAAAGTCCAAAAAAGGAGGTTAAATGCTAAATTAAATACTCTGTTTGAAGAGAGTTACTGGTCTAAGCTGAGTGATCTAAACGTGTTCATAAACTTATCATATATGTATTTATATATATGTATATATATATATATATATATATATATATATATATATATATATATATATATATATATATAAACATTATAGTATATATAGACTATCTCCCAGGAGGACGCAGTGAGCGTGTGTGGGTGTACCGGCGGTGTGTCTACTGCAACAACGGGAGGGCGGACGTCCTGTTCATCCACCAGTACAATATAACGTCACTCCCCCAGCCCACTGACAACTTTTTCCAAGGTGAGATATCCTAATTTTGTCTTAGATCCCAATAGCAATGGTGTCTGTGATATAGTGAACACAATGCATTTACGAAATTTATTGATATTATTGGGCCGCGAGCTTGTAATTTAACAAGTATTTTTCATTTACCGTATATAACTGTACTTTATATCTTATAAAAAAACACTAGTATTAACCCTTAAACCTGCGGCTAAATAATTCAATTATCATAGTCCCAGATACAGCCAAGTCAAGGTTTTTCTTAAGATAACAGAAAAATTCATATTTAAAGACTAGGCCTATATGAAGAAAAAATTGCAATGCATTTTTACTTAAAGTGACATAAAATATTGGAAGTTGCATGATATGACCTCACATTATTTGCGGTTGCCCAAGTCAGCAGTGGGACTGCCACGCTGTGCTGTTTTTCAGAACGTATACAAAACCTGATGGGCCACAAGCTGAAGATCGTGTCAGTGCCGCACTTCCCTTTCATGGACTTCAGCAGAGACATCGAGTCAGGCAGCATTATAGTACCCAGAGACTCCATCGACGCCCGCATGCTAAAAACCATCGTGTCTAAGCTTAATTTCACGTATGGAAAAATACCCAGTTCCAAGAGGCCATTTTGTAGATGTTACCCTGAAATATTCAGCCTTACCTTAATATAAACCTCTGAAGTTAGGCTTATATTAGATTTCAGGAAGACAATCTCTCCTCTAGAGAAATTTCCGCTATTATTTTTTTTTTTTGAGGAATACGTAAATTTTGAAATACGTATTGACAATTAAAATGGCATTTGGTTGTTATTTGTGGCATTCCTGAAGTCTAATAATTCTAAATGAACTTTATTTGTTTATAGTGTTCAGGTTAACAAATCGAAACAAATGTTTTTAATGGCATTATTCAAATTGTAAGTATTTAAGTTAAAACAAAATTGAAAAGCAAGTATATATTAGGCAAAATTAAGAGAAACTTGAATACATCACATAAGTTAATAAATTTTAATTTCGTCTCCTCTACAACCCAGTTTCGAGCATCGCGCTGAGCCTGAACTTACGTGGGGTCTGGAGAAGAACGGAACTTTCAACGGGATAATTGGTCAGCTTCAACGAGAGGAAACCGACTTCAGCACAGTAGCAGGTCCTACACCATCACGTTTCAAGGTTGTAGATTACGTGAGAACTTATCCTGCAGACATTATGACCGTTATTTCTCTGAACCCTACACTACTGCCTCAACACCTGTCGTTAATAAGACCATTTGAAGGTAAACAAACCATGTCGTCAATGACTGTCGCCATATTAGATGAAACAATATAAACTAACAGAGAGTGAAGCTCTTTGAAGAATAACTCACAGTAGAGGAGGTTGGATGACAGTGGTGAGGCTCCTCTCAGGAAGCTGTAAATATGCTGTAAAGTACCTGTATGTAATAATGAGTCATGAAGACGAAGGGCTACTTCCTTAATCAGGTGTCACTACCGTTTTGTAAACACTAAGAAATCTGAAATCTTATGAAATATTGCTCTCAACATCACTTCATACAAATAAGTTTATCTTATTACAGGTACTTGGAGCATGATTGAAATAACTATAATTTTATTCCTATGTATATTTTTCCAACGATCATTAACCACAGCTGTATTCCAAGCACGTAAGTGTTTTAGTTATCACCTGCTACCTTCCTCAGGAGATCTTTGGTTTGCGCTAATAGCGAGCGTAGTGGCATGGGGTTTGCTTATGTGGTTAATGCAGAGGGCATGGGGGTGGGTGGCGGGAGGTCGCGGTGTGAAGTTCAGTACCGCCATCCTGTACAGCTGGGGCGCCCTCCTGGAGCAGCCGCCTCCTAACACCGCCATCAGTGACTCAGGACGTGTAAGTTTTATTACAGCTGATTTTATCAACATATAAATTCTTAAACAAAAAATAATATTCATCATGGGACAAAAGCGGGTGAAACCGAGGTACCTAATGAATTGGGAAAATAATGAACAACTCATTTAAGGGAAACTGAATACCAGCATTACGTAAATATAATATTTTAATATAATTATAGTAAGGTTGGCATTGAAATACCAAGTTGTAGTTAACGAAAATAAAAGTAAATGCAATGAACTTTAATCATTCTGAAAAGTAGCTTTCCTTAATTAGTTTTGTATCTAGTAGTAACTGTATTAACTGGGTAATCTATGTTAGGGTAATATGTTCGTTTGTGCAGGAGGTAAGGTCCATTCCCGTCTTTTATCACCTTCCATGTATACATCAGTATATTTCCGCGTATCAATACCCTTTGACAGATTCCTGGTGTTGCAGCTGAAGGGCGTGATTGCACTACACTGTGATTAATGTACTCGTATATACTTGTAATGTGTGAACACATATGTTGAAGAATTTGTCGGAGAGTGTAGCAACTGTTTACATATTTGTGATAATATGATTAAATTGTAATTCTATGCTGAATGGTTGATGGCTATCTGGTCATCACTTGTAATTATATGATCACTGTAATAATCTTCACCGTACTCGCAGCTGTTGGTGGGTTGGTGGCTGGTGTTCTGCCTGATCATCACCACGGGCTTCCGCTCATCACTGATCGCGCATATGACAGTCCAGGGAAAGACGCTGCCCATTGAGACCTTCGAGGACCTGGTGAAGCAAGACAACTGGAAGTGGGGCACTGAGCCCTGGATCTTTAGCGGTATACCTCATGATTATTTCTCCAAACATACCGACCCGGTTATAAAGACGATATATCAGAAAGTAGAGGTAAGTCTCTTTGTACAATCGCCCAACTCAATGATGTCACGATTTTCAGAAATTATTAACCAGAAAGAGGTATCTGGCAACTACCAGACTCGTGTTATTTTTGCATTTATTTTTTTGAGGTAAAACGCAATATTGTGAAATAATAACATATTTTAACTCATAAATGCTAAAATAGTTTATCATAAGAATATTGTGAAAACAAACCATGTTGTTAGAATTATAGTTCAGTATTTTGAAACGATATATGACATTCCAAGTTATCGCTCAGGGACGTCCAGGTAATAATTTGCGGAGTTATAATTCGACGTCAAACTGAAATATGTATGAAATAGAAAATATGATTTTAAATAATTGTCATACTCATTACGTTTATACTAAGTCTTTACTGAATAAACAAATATTTTACTTATTCACACAGCTTAAGGATAAGAGAGGGTATAGGCTTAAATAATGTTTAGTGTTACATTTTACCCAAAGTATTCATAAGAAAATATTTTTTTTTTTTTACTGGAATTAGCCCACCCGGGCACAGGTCAAACGACCCACAACGGGGCCTGGGGGGCGAAAATTAACATTTATGTCCTGAAAATACTATGTTTTTAGCAACCAAGAATAATATATAAATCATTAAAGAATCCCGTTTACTTAGGAAAAAATAAAACTTGGCTAAATTGTTAACTTCTGTGAACGCTTATTCAATTAATAATTATATAATAGCAGCAAACGTCTTTCATATTGTTCAATAAGTAAAACAACTTTTAAACAAGGTAATCAGCCATGTGCATAATACTCTACAACTACACCTAGAAGGGTTATCGGCGTGTCATCGGAATGGCTGACGTTTTTCTTCTGCAGCTATATGCCCCACCCAGCCCACACCGCTGTTTGAACCAATCATACTGAAACTGGTGAAATCACTAAAGCAGATTGTACAACACGGCAACACACACCTACCTATTATTATGAATACAGAAGTAGTGAACCACCGAATCTTCTAATCCTTATTTAGGAATGCAATAAAAAAACTTCTACATTTACACATATGCAAAATACTGTACTATCAACAGGAGAAATTTAACTTAAGATTTAGCAAGAAAATGGTCAATAAATGATGAATTAATATTTTTTTGTGTCATATATATATATATATATATATATATATATATATATATATATATATATATATATATATATATATATATATATATATATATATATATATATATATATATATATATATATATATATATATATTTCATTAGCCCAAAAAAGCACACTGACTTTTACATACAATCAAAACCTCAACTTGAATTTGAGGATACTAAAAGCAGTCCTGTGTGAAATATTACAAAGTCTAGGACTGCTTTTAGTATCCTGGTGGTCCAGAGGTAGCGTTCCCCGGTCACAGTCATGGGCTCGTGGGCAGTGGGTTCGAATCCTGGCGGGTTGAGGTGTTGATTGTATATATATATATATATATATATATATATATATATATATAAGTAAATCTCGTGGACGTGAACTTCAAACATACAATCAAGACGTCACCAGCCAGAATTCGAACCCTCGACCTCTGCTTGTGAATAGGGATCACAACCACCGCGCCACATAGTTGACACGGGCAATCCCCAGTGGAGGTTCACGGCACTGATGGTAGCACGATAGAACAGGCTTCGTGTGAAATATAACAAAGTCTAGGATTGCTTTTGTTGTCCTAGTGGCGAGGTGGTAACGGTCCATGTTCACATGCAGATGTCGAGGGTTCGAATCCTGGCTGGTGAAGTCTTGATTGTATATTTGAAGTCCACGTGCTATATGGACTAATGATATATATATATATATATATATATATATATATATATTATATATATATATATATATATATATATATATATATATATATATATATATATATATATATTGTAGAGAGTATCGAAGACGGAAGGGTTGCAGAAGGTCTTGGATGGAGGCTTCACACTAATCCATTGGGAAATTTACTTCTCCATCTTTATTGACTCCTACTACAGTGACGCTCACGGCAACACCCCCTTCCACGTCAGCAAGAAGGGCGTCCCCATGATTGCCTTCTTAGGATGGGCATTTAGGTGTGTTGAATATGTGTTATCTTGTTTTACGAAGCCCCAAAAGGCGGCATGAAAGCCCCGTTTAGTACCCAAGTTTGACGACCCATAAGATAATTTGTGGAACTTACATTGATCTGGTGTAAAGCGTCGGTGTGGGGTTAGATCACGATCTTCTTACATGTAAAGCTTTCCTCCAAAATATCACAATTTATATTTCATTAATTGGTACAGTACTTCGCTGAGGTGTTTATACAAGACTTTGATGAGTTTGTATATCAACCTCACTAATGATGTTATCTTTATTAACCTATTCCTATTTTTTTTGTGTTTTGCTTAGGAAAGGTGCACCATTTTATCCACGTTTTTGTGAGCTTATATTTCGATTACAAGATGCCGGAATTATTAGCCACTGGAATAAAGATGCGCTAGCCAGGCGCGTAAGAGAAAACAAGGCGGCTACAGGACAGCACACCCAGAAAGACCCAACTCAAGTAAATATTGTCTCTCATGTATGTCCATGTGTGTGTGTTCGTATGTACAGAGTGGTAGCATTATGTTAGTGTTAAAGTGCAGGCGTTGCTTGCTTTCTCTCGTTTTCAGCGACCGCCGCTGGCTAGCCCTCGTGATGAACAGGGAAGCAACCTTGTGTAAGTGTTCTCCTGCCAGTACACTACCTCCTCACCATAAAGACTCCTGCTGTGCCTCCTCTTGGCATCATACGGAAACTGGATGCCTCGTGGCCCCAGACTAGACCAGTAGGGGATCTCGGAGCAGCAGTTGGCCCCAGAGGGGCGATGCATAGGCCCACTGACACGTGGACACGCCCTGGCGCCTACCAACCACTGTCCAGCTGGCTTGCGGATTAACCTTGGTAGGTATAAGGCTATGGGAAGAAACCCTGAACGAAAAGTATGTGGTGGAGCCCTTCATCGGGCAGACGTGCTTACAGTGCTCCAGTAAGACCCCAACGACGGAATAGGCGAAAGAGGTGACCAACATGGGAGCCCAATGACTCAAGTCCGTTTGTTTACTATAGTACGTAGTACAATATAATACGAAACAACAAAGCCCAACCATTAAATTAAGCAACGGGGAACTAAGTAACCAATCACCGATCACTTCTACATTTGTTCATAATTTTTACTACGTACTATAGTAAACAAATGGCCTTGAGTTGCCAGGTGTCTCCAGCAGTGTTTGAAGAATTTTGAACGAGACTGTGCGTAGCTGGCACGACTATCGCCCGAGTCCTCCTAAAAAGACTTCTTCCCGAGGCAGAAATCTTCCTCCCTGAATCTCAATGTGGCTTTAGATCTTCACTTGGCACAGCTGACATGATCTTTGCTGCCTGCCAAATACAGGAAAAGCGCAAAGAACAGCGCCGTGACATGTACATGGCCTTCTTTGACCTTGCTTAGGCCTCTCTGTTGACTCTATGATGGCCTGAACGACAGTGTCCTGCACAATGGTACCAGTCTGCGTTCTTCCCCATCCAAAGGGGGTAAAACAAGGATGTGTACTAGCACCAACTCTCTTTTCCTTTTATTGGCTGCCCACCTTACTCGTACCAGCCCAATTTAGCCGGCAGGGTGGACGTCCGATACCAGATGAAGGGAATTTTCAAAATAGGATGAGTTCAGGCAGGAAAATATGGTGTAGGCCGCCTCCATCACCCTAGTCGCTCATACTGAACGCACTGGTCTTGAGATGAATGCACATAAGACTTAGATTCTCTTACAGCCTGGCCCTGGCTCAACCACACCTCCACCATCCTTCCAGCTTAACGGTACTACTCTCTCCAATGTTACCCACTTCCAATACCTTGGCTCCCACCTGTCCACCACCGTAGACATCGATGAAGAGATTCAACATCGAATCCGATGTGCATCTGAAGCCTTTGGCAGAGTCCGTACCCATGTTTTCAGCTCTAGGGAACTGAAATTATCTATAACGTTGAGCGTTAATCGAGCAGTGGTCCTCCCCACCCTGCTATATGGTAGCGAGACATGGGTTACATACTGGAGGCACCTCAATGCACTTGAAAACTTTCACCAATGTAGTTTACGTCCTATCTTACGAGTTCGCTGGGAGGACAAGAGAACAAATACCACCATTCTCGCTGACACCAACTGTAGGAACATCGAGGCTACCATCTTCCATGAACATCAACGTAGACTGCCAAGGCAGCTACTTTACAGTCACCTAACGAATGGCAAATGTAACGCTACTGGACAACGAAAAAGATATAAGAATAGTCTTATGACAAACCTGAAAAAGGGCCGAATCGGCCCACTCACCTGGAAGACGATCACTCCACACCGGAGGAGCACCATACGAGAAGGGGATCAATGCTTTCGAGTAAGCCCGACTGCATACTGAGGCAGACAAACTCCAGGTCCGGAGAGACGCTGGCGTAGCCCCTCCTGCACTAGATGTAGCCACCCACACGTGCAACATCTGTGGACGACCCTGCCGGTCCCGTATCGGCCTCTCTAGTCACCTCAGAGCTCACCAACGAAAGTGGCATCCTTAATAACTCATATCATAGCCTCATAGATGAATGATCTTCATATTCGATTCCGAGTGACAGCAAAGTAGTAGTGTGTGTGTGTGTGTGTGTGTAATAATACAAAAATTATAATAAACGGTTTATTAATAGAGATTCAGCAGGTGGCTGAGAATATACAAACTTACATGAGATTTAGACATAATAATACACGTTCAATACTTTTACAGGGCTGTACAGTACATAAATGTGGAACTGTTTATTATTTTAGCTATAGATGGGATGGTGCTATTCTTATATTTATCAGTGAGGGCTCTTATGGGATGAATTTTGTTGTAGTGGCGGACTGCGCAAGGTGGGCGGGGGACTGCTCGTGGCAGGAGGTGGCGATGACGAGGATGGTGCAGTAGTTCACTACTAAACCCTGCTGGTGCGTGGTGGTGGAGGTCACTGAGGAATGGTATTTCCAGGATGGAGAGAGCGTTGTTGTAGCCGGAGTAGTCTAGGCCGAGCATGATTCTGCAGGCCCTCTTCTGTACCTTCTCTAGCTGACGTTGTTGGGTAGAGTTGAGAGCAGACGACCAGGCTGGTGACGCATACGTTAATTTTGGTAGTATAAATGCGTTGTAGATAGACTTCAGCTCTGGCGTGGTTACGCCAAGTGACCTGAGTCGTCGTAGCATGTAGAATCGGTACGAGGATACCTTGATAGTTTGTTTACATGGGCCTTCCAGTCCAGTTTGGGGTCTATAGTTACATCCAGGAGTTTGGCAGACTGCACTAACTGGAGAGGATGGGCACCCACTGTAACTGCTGCAGCTTGCACTTGGAGTGATGGCGGTGTTGATGTGCATGACTACGGTTTTGGTGTGATTGATGGTGACCTTGTTCTCCGTAATCTATGCCTGTAGCCTGTGCAGGGTGCCTTGTAGCGATGAGTAGTCTGGTCCGGTGTTGTCTACATAAACCCCCACAGTGCAGTCATCCACGTACTTCCACCTGTGAGGAGTGTCCGATAGAGCGCCGTTGATCTGGAGTAGGAAGCACAGTGGTCCCATCTTGGTCCCCCGGGGAACACCGCAGGTGAGGTGTTGAAATGTGGAAACAGAACCCTGGTACCTCACTGCCTGACGATGCTCACTCAGGAAATCAGTGAGCCATGAGACCAGGTTGGTGGGCAGCCCTAGTGCTATGGCCTTGTTAATAACAGTGCAGTGATCAAAACGGTCAAAAGGTTTCCTGAAGTCAACAAGGGCAACGGCCAGTGATATCTTACGTTTCTCCAGGTTTTTGTGCAGAAAATCCAGAAATTAACTAAGCAGTGTCATGTAGAGGAAGTCTTCATTTTGCCAAATTGCTGTGGATCAATTGACTGATAAATACTAGCAAATGCTCATTCAGAAACAAAGTCTTCACAGAGTAAACTGGGTGGCAACTGGCCTGAGGTCACTAGGGGACTGTGCGTTGGGGACCTTGGAGAGAGTGGTGATAAATGCAGTTTTCCATTCATTAAGGCATTTGCTTTGTCTGAAGAATGCATCAATAATGGAACAGAGGGGGGTGGCAAGTTCGACTGCAAACTCCTTGTAAATTTTGATTAGGGGGTCATTTGGGGTTGTAAAGCGTTTGTGTGTGTGTGTGTATGTGTGGTGATTATTATTTCTAACATTAAATAATGTAAATTCTGATGCATTTATAATTCCGTTTTATTATAAAATCGTTGCTATACTTTTAATAAAGGTGAACACATATATTTGGCAGGTTGAGAGCAAGGAGATGTCGCTGGGGCTGCATCACCTGCAGGGTGCCTTCTTCCTATTATTTTTGGGCTTAGGCGTTGCTGTTCTCATGCAGCTGGTGGAGTACCTAGCTCACTCCCACTCCTCAGCCAACTAAACCCCTCCGAGGTTCATCAGAGTGCAAGGCAGTAACCAAAGTACTGTATATCTCAGTCGCCTTCCCCAACCTACTGTATAACTTATTTAGAACGACTATCTGAACACCCTGTCATGTTTCTTGGTTCTTTTTAGGGTGAATGAAAATAACAACAGGTTCTGATCATACGAGTATGTCACTATCGGTGTAGTGTTGGTGTGATGGATAATTTCTTAGAGAATAATTTGCGAATTGCATAAATGAAGCACGTCACCAATCTATGTTGTGAAAACTCCAAATTGTTATTTTTCATTAATTTTCTTCTATATAGCACCTTTCTACATGGCGCCACTATAGAAATTATAAATATTTTTGATAAGAGCAATGTACACAACACACCTCTAATGGTTCCTTCTCGATGCCTCCATTTAGTTGCCGAGACAATGAATTATTAACAGATAATATTTTCTAACAACTGTACTCATTATGAATAAATATGCATTGATAGTTTCTCAAGATTGAATTTATCATGTTTGTGTGTGTTAAACTCAATTTCACTTGGATTTCTGATAATAAAGTTTTACTCATATCAAACTTCCAACTTTCCTTTGTCAGTCAGGACTACTCTGCCTTGTCTATGAACACTCTTTCCTCTTCCAGTTGTTCCAGACTTGCAATTAAGAATTATTGTTGTTTAATAATTCTTATATTATTATCTCTACCTTATTCCTAGATTTTTCCGGCAATCGTCTCTTTTCTGGTCTTTAATCAAAGGCCCAAAACTTCCGACTAATAAATTCTTAATCCTTTTCTGAAAATACTCATAAATACTCGGAAAAGAGAGTAAACACAAATAGGTTCCATGACCTTGAAACACGAGTATATATATGGTACCTCGTGTTTCATACCAGCTGGATTCGGTAAAATGCTACTGACACCACATACGAGGCACGGGCAGTTCCCAATGAGGTTCACTGCGCCATCAGCTCGATGAACAGGCTTTGTGTGAAATATAACAGAGTCTAGGACTGCTTTTAATGTCCTTGTGGGTTGGTCGGTAGTGTTCCCTAGTACCACCCAGTAGGTCGAGGGTTCGAATCCTGGCTGGTGAGGTCGTTGATTATATGTTCAAAGTCCGCGTGTTATATGGACTAAAAATGAAGGATATATATGGTACCTCATGTTTCATACGAGCTGGATTCGGAAAAATGCTACTGATACCACATACGAGGCACGGGCAGTTCCCAATGAGGTTCACGGCGCCATCAGCTCGATGAACAGGCTTTGTGTGAAATATAACAGAGCCTAGGACTGCTTTTAGTGTACTTGTGGGTTGGTCGGTAGTGTTCCTTAGTCCCACCCAGTAGGTCGAGGGTTCGAATCCTGGCTGGTGAGGTCGTTGATATATATATATATATATATATATATATATATATATATATATATATATATATATATATATATATATATATATATATATATATATATATATATATATATATATATATATATATATATATATATATACATACATACACATATACATATACATACATACATACATACATACATATATACACACACATATATATATATATATATATATATATATATATATATATATATATATATATATATATATATATATATATATATATTGTTACGAGTTGGGGATTTAGAATAAAGTTAAAAGTCTACCCAGATCCCAACGGGCAACAAAAACAAAGACAATCGGACTATAAAAGGGTAGACAAAGGATGCGAGTTTTTGTTGTGTATAATAAAGTACCATAAATTTCTTAACAAAATATTCGGCTTTCTATAATTTACCCTTAACCATACTTAACCTAAACATTAACAGTATATACATATTTATACAACATACAACAATTTTGAAGCAAGGTGGAGGTGGAGAGGCAATATAAGATTACAAATACTTAAGTGCGGAGCTGAGATGGCTGACGAGTAAGGCTGAGTATTGTAGAAGACGGTAGGTAGTCACTGTGCCGTAGGTTTCCAGGATAGGTGATCCTGTGGTCACTTCCCAGAGTGAACTGAACTCTCATCGAACTGGAGCTGATGAAGAAGACTTGTAGGAGGTGACGCAACAACCAGGATATGGAGAAGGGAAACCCCGGAGTGGTAACTAAGACTAGTCATACTCGTGTTTCGTCCCTAGATGGCGTTGCTCGTGGTGCTGGGTAGGTAGATCAGGACAATAGATGGCGTGGTTCGTAGTGCTGGGTAGGTAGATCATGACAATTGATGGTGTGGTTCGTAACACAATATATATATATATATATATATATATATATATATATATATATATATATATATATATATATATATATATATATATATATATATATATATATATATATATATATATATATATATATATATATATATATATAAATTTAGATTAGATTATTTACCGCGACCCTGACTGGTGCCGGACGATTGGGGATAAAGAGACGCACTGGAGAAGGGTAACACTTTTCTTACTTCAAACATCACCCCTTACAACACTACAGGCGGAATCAATAATTGTACAAAAGCACTAGATTAACTTCTTAACGTGCTTGTAACACTATAATCGGAAACAAATCTTATACATGGCACCAACAAAAATTATGAAAATATATTAATTGCATCCTAAAGGAACTACTGTAATATTACAGCGGGACTACATGCACAAGAAAATACATGCCAATTTTAAACAGACACAAGAACGAGGAACTCATCTGAAACAATCCCTTAATACATCATACATCACTGCTAAGAGCTTATAAAACATTAAAAAAAATATTATTTGCACAAATGAAAATATCTTAAGTGCATCCGACAAATTTATAGTAATCCCTGAGGAATAGAAATACTGACTTAGTCACAATACACAAGAACATGGATCAATCATAGCCTGTCTGGAATGACCCACAAAATACTATTTATCCTAAGTATCTTAAATACACAAAACCCGAAGGTTGTAACTACTAACCTGCCGAGTGGCAGGCACCCACAAGAAACGGAGAAAATCACTCAATGACCCCTCAGGCAGGCGAGTTTTCCGCTTATACCCTTTACTCTATTTCTAGGTTCAGGAGTCATGAGTGCATTTATCCACCAATTCCCCGTAACATGGTTCACACCTTTGTTCAGAATACCGTACTTCCCAGCCCCACAGCCCCCCAAAATTCTTGAATAGTAACTTCTACGCCCCACGTCTGTGATCAACCATACGTTGACCTCACACCAAGGCTTGGATAATTGAACCACATGCACCCAATACTAGGGATGTAAATCTCTCTATGTAACCGCTAGAATTTCAGATCCCAGAGTGTGACCCCACATTCATCAATTCTGCACCCCGGGCCAAATAACTGGGGAAAGGAGCGACCGTCAAAAGAACATAAGAACATGAGAATGGAGGAAACTGCAACGGGCCTATTGGCCCAACCTGGGCAGAACCATTTACACCCAACACCTATTGCTCATATATGCATCAAACCTATGTTTGAAGCTATTCAGCGTATTCGAGTTAATGATGATATTTGGTAACTTGTTCCACTCGTCTAGTACTCTATTTCCAAACCGATATTAACCAATTTCGCGCCTAAATCTAAATTTGTCTAATTTAAAACCATTGTTACGAGGTCGCTCCTCGTTGGATAGTTTGAGTACCTTTGTAATGTCCCCTTTGTTCAGCCCTGACTTCCATTTATACACCTCTATCATATCGCCCCTCACTCTACAGTACGTCTCTCGAGGGAGTGCAAATTAAGATGCTTTAACCTGTCTCTGTACTCAAGGTTCCTGATGCCCGGGATTAGTCTTGTCATCCTCCTCTGAATTCTTTCCAAGGATTCTATATCCATTCTGTAATGCGGTGACCAGAATTGAACTGCGTAATCCAAGTGAGGTCTCACAAGCGCAAGATATAGTTTTAGGATGACCTCGCTAGTCTTGTAACTAACACGCCTTTGAATGAATCCAAGTACTTTATTAGCCTTGTTTCGAGCAAATACACATTGCTTACTTGGCTTTAGATTCTTACTTATCATTACTACTAAAACTCTCTCGCAGTCGGATTTCTCCATATCATCGTTGATCATCTGGTATCTGTTTTCCCTGTTTACATCTCCTATACTGAGTACTTTACATTTGTCCACATTGAATTTCATCTGCCATTTTTCAGACCATTCGAATTTGTTTTTCCTTTACTTTTGCGGAGTCATCGTCAGATTTTAGTACACGCTCTATTTTAGTGTCATCAGCAAATTTACTTATGTTGCTGTCTACGCCGATATCCATGTCGTTTATGTATGTAATAAATAATAATGGTTCAAGTACTGAGCCTTGGGGAACGCCACTAGTGACGTTGCTCCAATCGGACTTAGTGCCGTTAATGCTCACTCGCTGTTTCCTGTCCTGTAACCACGCCCTAATCCATTTTAGAATATCTCCTCCAATGCCATGAGCCTCCACTTTTCTTATTAGTCGAAGGCTTTGATAAAGTCGAGATATACCACATTATAATTATGCCCCTCATCCACTGATTCGAAAACAGATGAAAAGAATGTTAATAGATTAGTTAGACATGAACGCCCGGTTGTGAATCCATGTTGGGAATCATTGATCAACTTGTGCTTCTCCAGGTGATTTCGAATAGAGTTTGAAATGATTGCTTTCAGTAATTTGCCCACAATTGATGTTAGACTGCTTGGACGGTAGTTAGATGATAGTGGTATATCTCCCTTCTTGAAAATCGATATTACATTCGCTATCCTCTAGGATTCTGGTACTACACCCGTTTTTAAGGACATGTTAAGCAACTTTGCTAAGGGCATACTCAGGTCTTCCTTACATTCCTTTAATACTCTGGCAAATATCTCATCGGGACCTGGTGACTTATTAGGCTTTAGCTTGTCGATTCGCTTACTATCATCGTTACTTGTCACTACTATCTCGCTTAATTTATTTCTTCACTATCTCTGTATAGAGTCGGTGCCTCGGGTATCATGTTTAAATTTTCGGTGGTGAAAACTGTTGAAAAGTTTTTATTCATATGATTGCTCATTTTCCGTCGTTAGCAGTTAGCTCGCGGTATCTGACTGTAGTGCTGTGGTGGTGGGACGTGTGTGTGGGAGCTCCGTGTATTTCGTCGAAAAACTGGGTCTTTCCAGGAGTGCCCAGTCTGATTTCTAGGAAATCTGATTCGTGATGAGTGACTAGTGAGCGTCGTGACCAGTACAATATCTATCTGCGATCCACCCCAAGTAGATATATTTGTCAATTTACTGGTGAATCTGTGTCTACGACGTGAGTTGTAGGCCCAACAAGCTCCCCTTAGTACCACGGCTTGTATTCTGAACCCTGTCCACCCCCACCGTCCCACCAGGCCACCCAGCTGACAACACAACTAGACCTCTTCCCTACTGCCAGCTACTCAGCCCTCACTAGCTCTAATATGCCTAAGTTGGCTGCTAGTGTCAAAATTTCAAATTTCACGAAACAACAGCTGACTGATGTGATAATGGAAGTCCAACGGACTCTCATACAGGACATCATACAGAAAATGAATAAGGAGACCATCAGGAAGCTAGAAGAGGATGACCGGCGTCTCACTGACCATATAAGTGAGATTAAAAGAAGCTTGGAATTCTCGCAAGGGGAAATAAGTGACTGGACAAGCAAACTTGAACATTGAAGCTAACGCGAACCGAACACTCAAGACCCAAGTTCAACAGCTGAGTGAGGAGAATTCCAAGTTCAAAACGGAACTGACGACAACAGCAGTCCGGGTGGATTGTGCCGGGTGGATTGCCGGAATCCCTGAAGATATCCACTAGAACTGGGAATCATCCCAACGCAAAATTTCACGCCTCCTGAATGAACATTTGAAACTTCCTGAAGTAAAATTTGACCGAGTTCAA